ATATTATGTAAATTATTATATTATGTAAATATCCGTTTATATTGCAATTTTATATATTGCTGAAGTTAAAATTTCAACACTCTTTATCGCTCTAACTAAATAATGTTCATTAATATACCAATAAAATTTAGCTTGAGTAGAAAATGACCTGCATACGCGCCTTCAATAACGTAGTGCTGCGCGGGATGCGTTTAGCTGTGCAATGTGATTGCTTTGCTGCTTTGCATGCAGTTGCAGCAAAGCAAACCAAAAAAGCAGATATGGAGAAAAAAAAAAAACAACTCGAAACCAAAACAATAAACCGCGCACCAAAATGGAATGCCAAAAAAGCAGAAGAGGAGAGAAAAAATAAAGAAACAAATATTGCCACCCACCCACTTTCATACTCCAGAAAACGTGTTGGATTTAAGGCGGCAAGTCAAGAGAGAGACAATGACAGAGAGAGAGAGAGAGAGAGGCACTGAGCTTATAATCAGTCGTGCATTTTATGCGGCCTGTTTGTTGTTTTGATGCCGTTCTTCTCCTTCTTCACCATTTACGCGACCAATCCACGTTTTTTTTCTTTGCGCTATTGTTTGTTGCTCCCCTGTTGCTCGTTGTGTTCGTCTCTCACACACACACGCTTGCGAATACACAGTCACACATACTTAGAAGTCAAGTTGCCGCCATTTGGAGCCTTTGCTTGCTTCGGCGTTCTTCCTTTGCTTGCTTGTTTGTTTGCCAAATAGATTTTTTTCTTTTCGTTTATTCTTCTTCTCACAGGCCTACGTTTCTTCGTTTTGTTTGCTCTTGAATATTTGTTGTGTGCCCTGCATACTTTTCTTTTGGGTATATAATTTAACCGTAAACTAACATTAGGTGCTTTTTAAAAGCTTTTTAATTCCTTTTCGTCTGGCGACTTTTATTTTTGTTTTATCTATGCTTTCAGTTCACTTTTTCAATTGTATGAACTGCACAGTGGCACACATGTATTGTATATGTATAAATATCATATATGTATATAATAATATAAATATGCTATTCAATACTCATTTTACTGTAAACACAGAATTAATCATCACAGCTGACTTGTGACAAATAATAATTATTTATTATTAAATACTACATGGAGTGACTGTGTTGGTTTTATCCCACTGTATACTCAGACTGGGCAGCCGCTTCATTGCGCTTTGATTATGCATGAGCAAGCGAGACAGCTGTTTTGCACGTTGACGAATGCATATGTGTGTGTGCGTGTGTGTATGAAGTAGATAAAGAAGAAGCACAAGACAAATGACAGACTAAAACAGCGCTGATGCGGTGGGTGAAGAAGCAAAGAAAATGGATTTTAAACATTTTTGTTTTGATTATTATTGTTCTTGTCGCACAGCAACGATGGGGGCAAAACTTATAAAGTAAACTAGAGAGCGGGCGTGTGAGTTTGTGTGTGTGCGAGTGTGAATGCGAGAGGCCGAAGTGCAGGTGGCATGGAAATTTGCACGATACACGAATAAATCGTATGTCCCCCACTATAACTGCCCATGTAAATAAATGTGTAATGCTTAACATTGCCGCAATTGACATCAATTGAAATGTGTTGCTTCTGTTTTTTTTTTTTCTTCTTTTTGCTTGCCTTTATTTTTAGTTGATTTACCTTTGGTGTTGTTGCTATTTCTATTTAAATTTAGAGCTTTGCAATTTGTTGTTGCAAGTGCACATCAGCGCTGACGTTGCCACAGTCGTTCAATTTGTTGGTCCTCTTTTGCATAATTGGTTGCACACATGGCACACGCATTACGTCGTCTAATTGTACAATTTTTTCAGCTTTTGTTGTTTTTATTTGCCGCCTTACGTTTTAAGCGTTACGTATTCCTATATTACGTAGTGTACACGCATAGAGATCGCGATTACAGTAAACGGTGCGTTAGTGTTGTTGCTGATGTTGTTGTGGCGCAGTTTATTGGTTATTTTTATGCACATTTGACGCGCGCACTCACACACATACGCAAACAAACTGACAAACACACACGTACGCAGAGATCGAGAGAGATGCACTCATACAATTGCAACTGTGCAGCATTTACCGCCAAGTTTTATTTCGCATTTGTCTTTTCTTATATTTTACCTTCTTTTTTCTTTCTGGCTGTTAACTTTTCGTTTTATTTTTATTTCCTTTCGTTTATTTGCGCTGTTGTCCGTCCGTCCCGCTACCTTTCCGCTTTACGATGTTCTTGCCCGCTCACTCACACACTCGCGTACGCACACGATTGTAGCCACACATTCGACTCAATTGGTTTTTCAGCTGCTTTTTCGTAATTTGCAAATAGTTAATTTATTCTATTTGGCTAGCCGTATCATTGCACAGCGAATTGCACTTTGCTCGTTTCATACTTTAAATTAGCATTGCTTTTTGTTTTGCGCACTTCTTTTTTTTTTTTTTTTTTTTTGGTAGCTCMCTCGCGTTGGAATTTCGCTGGCAAAACGGAATTTAAAATAATAATTATTTTTTCCACTCGTCGTTCATCGGAGGTTTGCTCGTGTTCGCCATTTTCGTATTCAATTGGCCTTGCCAGACTGTTGCGCATCGCAAACGATGCCACGGATATGCAATAGAAATAGGTTTCTGCTTGGTCAGTAAAGTTGCAATTCAACAAAAATATTTAACTAATATTTATTTTATAAAAATAGACTATAATTACTTGGCAAATTTAATAAATATTTTATGTCGCGCTAGCCGTTCCAGCAGCTGGCAGCATTTTATATAATGAGAAACCATTTGTCTCTTTTGCTCGCATTGTTTTTCCTCATTTACTTTTGTGCTGTTGCGTTGCAGCCGAAACAGCTGGAATGAAATGCGCGCGCACAATTTGAATCCCAAACAGTAAATTAATATATGAAATTTAAGTAAATAACGTATAGTGTAATCGCAAAAAATAATTTAATAAAACGTAAAATAAATGTAATTGAAGTAATTTGAAAAAAAAAAGTTTATTAATTTTAACAGCAATGTGGAGTGTATACACTGTTAAAGAGCATTGCCAGATGGACAGAGCACTATGTGCAGCCGTACAAATGCTAAATGCTATGTGGCCAATGATAATTATCGATATGTTGGCGCTAAAAATTGAATTTAAATATAAGTAATTAACTGATACATAAACATTTTTCTATTATCAAATAACTGCAGTTGAAATTTTATTACTTATACATTTAGTTTGAATTCAATTTATGTACGGTATGACGTTATGGCAAAATACTGTCATGGAAAGTCTTGGGATTGTCAAATTATATTTATGTATTTATAATAAGCAAATAAATATTCGTAGCCAAAAGTCGACATTTGCATAATGAAGGCGAAACAATTCAAATGAGTTGCAATTTTCAGTTGTTGAATGCGAAAGTGACTTGCATATGTATGTGTCTATATGTATGTTTTTACATGTATGTATGTATGTATAAGTACTTGTGGGTGCGGAAATGGGTGGCGAGACTATAAAAACCGCGCTCAACTAACGCTGCTTCAAGCTTTCGATGGATGGGCTGTTGGCGCATACAAAGCGATTCATTTGCTGAGAGAGCAAGACAAAGAGATGGGGAGAGGGGGAGAGCAACTGCATGAGCGAGCGGGTGAGTGAGCAAGAAAACATATGTGACGGACGTGTGTGGAGAGCGGGTAAAAGCGCTATTTGGAGTATGGGTATTTCGCTCTCTCATATGCATTAAGCTAATTGACATTCATGAGCATCAAGGCTGAATACATTAAAATAATTGCATATTCTCACTACTCACTCTAGCTCTAAGTAACAACAGAGCAATAACAACAGCAACCACTCTGTTTGACTTGCATAATTGTTACATTGATCGTCGCAGTAGATTAATTTCAGCTATTAGTTAACATTAATTGACATTGTTGCGAGCTTTTCACATGTTGTTGGAAAAATCGATCAAAAATTGAAACTCACATTTCAACCGAGTGCGCAGGCTCGCGTCGTGGAGAAAGAGACATTAGGAGGGGCAGAGTCAGGCGACCTCGTATGTTTTTTTTTTATGTGTGCATTTATGTATGTATTACAAATACACACATGCATGCATACATCCACACTTACACACGCCCCCTATGGGTCGTACACATTTAGAGCGCTGAGCAAACAAAACAAATGATCCCTCACACCAAGGCACACCAGCAAAGCAGCGACGTTAGCAGCGCAGCTTTGCATGTGTTATGTGTGTGTATGTGTTTGGGATCAAAACTAAAGCACCCAATGCTCCGTGCTCCATAAAACAAAAGCTGTGCATATTTAATGCGCGTGAGCGTGACCAAATAAGAGAACGAGAAATGTGAGCACATTAGAACACACACATTCACACAAAAGCTTCCCCTAGTTTACAGCTGCTTGAAACAATTAATGCATATTAAGGTCAGCAGCAGCAGTAGCGTTAGGGACAGCGACTGCCGCAGCGTTCGCCCTTTACAGCCAAACTCAGCCGCCAGATGGCGCCACGAGTGTCGAAATGAACGCGTTTGCTGACATTTTCTTGGACTCACACATACGTACATATGTATCTACATACACACACATTCTTACAGACCTACTTGAAATTAGTGTAGCAGCACTCTATTATGATGTGCAATAATGACACACATATATACATACATGCATGGGCATGTTGAAAAAGAGAAGCAAAAAGTTAACAAAAGTAGGCACTTTATTGGGCGGCAATTGACGTCATTGAAACGCTTTTCTATGGAACTGCCGCCTGCTCGCACTCATGCTAAACATGCGATATGCACTTGCAATTTGAAGTGCGAGTGTGTGTATGCGAGTGGGCAGAATGCATAGTTGTATTAGTACGCGTGTTGTGGGACATGTGTGCATTGCATTATTCTTGTTTAGGCTTTCCATGCGCACTCTCACTCCCCTTGCTGGCTTGCCAAAGAGAGCATGAGAGAGTACCTGGCAGTTTGCAGTGCATGCGTGCCTCTGTGTGTGTGTATGTGTGAGTACATAAGAATTTAATGTCATAAATGCATAAAATTACAACCATGAAACATTTACAAGCATACACATGATAGGATTTATCTATTTGAAAGTATACAGTATCTATACGTGTGTGTGTGTGCTTATATAGCGTGTGCTATATTCAGCCACTCTCTTCGCTCTTCGTTCTTCCCTATCGCTGCGCTCGTAACAACTTGCCCTAGAACTATTTTTTTTTTTTTTTTTGTTACAACGCGGCGAAACCTTAATATGCAAAAAAAAAAAAATTATAAGCTGCTGCCAAGTGTTGGCTTTCAAGCAACTGGCACGCCCTCACCCTTTTTCTTTATAACTAGCCATGGAATGTTGTAACAACACTACAGCAAACGCCTCCGCAGAAAGCTTTTTTTTGCTGCTAACATGTGATGCGATCTGCCTAGCTGTTGTTGTTGCTATTAGATCTTTCGTTTAACGACTCGAAGCTTTTGATGCTAATGAAACCTAAACCTTTATGGGATGTAAGCGCACGTGTGTGTGTAACGGAAGTTTTAATGGCATTTATTAATGTTTACTTGTTTCTTTTGCGTTGTTTTTGTTATTTTTTTTTTTTTAAATAGATAATTTTTATGACCTGCAGATTGCAACGTGTAATATATGTGTGTATGTATGTATATTATATGTAGCTTTAGATACTGCTTATGAATCATGTATAATAATTTACAGTTGAAACAATTAGAACTCTACATGCAGCTCATTATCATTAGCACATTACATGACGAATGGTACTAAAGTAGAGCTCGCAAATTTGTATATGTATGTATGTAGATAAAAGTGTGTTTGTGTGCATTAGTTTTTTTTTTAGTATTTATGATCAACCAAATGGTTTTTCCGTGCAGCTGCTTATCTATTCTATCGCTCGCTCTAGCTTTGGCGTCCGTTTGCAATTGACGTGAGCCACATGCATAAGTGAAAAAGGGACAAGAAGGCAGACGAATGAGCAAAAGAGACACTTCTAGAAAAACTTAAGGGCTAACGTGACGACTCAGAAGTAAGAGCGAGTAAATTATATGCATATGTATGTGTGTACATAAGTATGTACATACATATATGCTTGTAAGCATGTTTCTGCTATAGAACAGTTTACACTTGACCTTGGTTAAGGAAGGGGAAAACTGCAATTAATTTCTATGCATTTAAAATTAAAACAAAAAATGTTCTTTGCTTTTATTTTACGAATTAATATAGAAATAATGGAATATTAAAAACATTTGTAATAAAATTATAATTGGATTTATTATATAACCACATTTTTGCTGAGTGCAACAGTAAAACATTGAACAAGCTGAAAGCTTCTTATTGCATTGCAACGGTTAGCAAGTGTGATTCAGCTTAACCCAGCTTCAGCGATTTTTTTTCACTACAATCGTGTTAACCACCAACTGTTGTTGTTGCAGATGTGTCACTCATCATGTTAACCACATCATGAAATCGGATTTAGCTTCAACCGCTGTTCGCCTTGCACATGACATAATGCATGTATTTGGAGTTGAAGTCCATTTGCAATTTATACGGTTTATTTTGTGCTCTCATTCTAAAGCTTTTTAACTGTAATTCGACTTGGGCCTAATTAAGTAGCGTATGCTAATTACAACAATTGCAAAGCCTGCGCAAGCAAATAATACCTTCGTCCCACTCTTGCTTGCATACATACGCAGCGCAAAGTACACGTAGCAACAGCAGAAGAAGAACAACAAAAAAACACACACATACTTAGTGGCGCGCTCGCAGCCTGCGCGGTCTCTCGCTCTCGCTCCTACTCTCATTACTCTCCCTCTCTCTTTCGTCCGTTTTGATGCGGATCTTATGTGTAGCCCACTGCCTCCCACTTGAAACAATGCGTATACATAAGCGCTGCCAGCGTCGATGTCGACGTCGACGTCGTCGCCAACGTTACCCTAAGTCTAAGCCTCAGCCCAGCCAGCTACGTTGTCGCCCTCCGCTCGATCCGCTGCGGCGACGACAACGCTTTTAGGGTAGTTTTTCTTGTTTAGTTGAGCATTGTTGTTATTGTTGTTGTTGTATTTTGGCCCTGAAGCTTTATTTGCTTCAATCGATGCCGCCCCGCGCCAACGAACAACCCCACAATTTAGGGTGGAAATTGTGTCGGATCATCACATGAGCCAAGCCGAAGCCCGAACGTTGCGTTTAGGGTTTCACAATTGTTGTTGCGGCTATTACGGCTTTATTGTTGTAGCATTAGTTGTTGCTATTGTTGTTGTGGGCTGACATGACAACGTGAAATTCACTTTATTGTCTGTCCGCGTATTTCATGTCAAACATTATTGGATGCGCCCTCGGGGCGCGCCCACACACTACACTAATACACGCATACACTCCCATTACCATGGGATCGTCAAAGCTCTCGCACATACGGCCCAACATGAAAATACATTTTTTTTAATTTTGATTTTTTTTTATTAATAATTTTTTTTTGCATGCAACTTTCTATGTGGGTATAAATCTTTTTTATATGTAATTAACTTTTTTCTACTTTCTGTG